GAAGACGGGTATACGCCATACAGTGTGCTATGAGGGACATTTTGCCTGGACAGCGGCACTGCGGCCTACTCTTATATCAATTTGCAACTGCCAAGGGATCTTTTACGTGCACGCCAATGTGTACACGGGACCTCAGTTTTTCGTATTATCCGAATGACTAGACAGCTTTCCTTGTCAGGCCCTCCGTCCTGCATCACTGATAAGGGGGAACTACATCAGAAAATCTGGATGAACTTTCTCGGCCAATGCAGGGATCGAACACCCGACCTCCAGGCTAGCGAGCCAGCGTCTTACCCATTTAGCCACCGTCACCGCCCATTGAATTGAATATGGAAGCTTTGCACAACTGTTCATATTTTAACATATTAAATTTGTGTTTGTTTTTAGCAAATATTTTCAAAACGACAAATAAAAACAAATATTTTGTTGTGTTTTTCAATGTAATACATGCATATCATTAAGTACATACAATTCATAAATCAACAATTACAATTATTAACATAATCTAAATTTGTTTGTATATATAATAATGAAACAATTATTTTGTCTGGGGAGAGATACATAGCAACACATGGTTGGTTAAAGTAGCCAAGTCTCGAACTCAATATCTTCCAAAGTCTTTGACATGGAAAACACGAATTATTTGTCAATCTAAATCAACATTGATGTTGTGATCTTACCGGGAAAAGATGGGCTTCTGATATCCAATATGTAAGACAAAATAAACATAATGCGTTTCAGAGCCATTTGTAACAGGGGACTCGAAGAATGAGGCTAGACATATTCTACAAGTGACAAACGGTGACCTCATACTCTTATCTGGAGAGCATGCGCAATAAATACTACAGGTGTAGACTGAAATAACCAGACACTAGGGGTGTATTTGAAACAGTGTTCCAGTGCAGAGAACGGACGGAGAATGGGTTCTTGTCGGACTTGAGCAGCCTGGAATGCGTTTGCGAACACATTCCCGTTCTCAAATACCACACAACCTCATTAGCTGGTGTGAGACGAGAACAAACATGGTGGACGCGTCGATAACTGCCAAGAAAACAGCATCATGGGTGCATTTATTAATTTAAAAGTTTAATACCGTTCGAAAATTGTGGTCAGTATAACATCAAGTAAGATAGGTTGGCAGGCAACACAACACACACCCACAGCAGTTAAATCGTCCGCGCGGTCAACAGGGATTGTCGCATATTCATTCTTTTGTAGGTAATTGGGGCATTTACAAGAAAATTTCATACAAGATTATAATTTTCGTCGTTTGTGGGTTTACAAAGGTTCTACAAAATGAAACAAGGGCCTTAATTGTTGAAATTTGACAGATTTTTTTTGTTTTTTGTTTTATTAATTTAAATAATGTATACAAATTTCATACAGATCGGATGATAATTTTGTTGTTCGCGCATTCACAAGGTTCGACAAAGTGAAACAAGGGCCACAACTCTAGACGTAATTCACTGAAATTGCAGAAATTTAATAGGCGTCTTCGTTTCACTAATTTAAATGATGCAAATGAATTTCACAAAGTGAAATAAGGGCCATAACTCCAGAAGAAACTAACGGAAATTATTGAAATTAAATAGGCTTCATCTCACTAAAATAACAACATATCAATTTCAAAACAATCAGGTCTATAGACGACGGACGAGGGCGACGACAATATGCGACCACATTTCCATGTGGGCATATCAAAAGGCGATGTAATCGTCACCGAAAGAATTGAAAATGAGTAAAACAGGATCATAATTTATCAAAATTATGCTTAATAACGAAGTCAGTACTAAACAAGTTATCGTAACAGATTGTATAAATTTAATTCATCTTTTTACCATGGATACCGTTCGAGACTCCTGAAAGTGTTCTTATGTTCTTCCGCCGTTCTCGAACACTCTAGAGATTGCCATTCGATTGAGACTTTCGCCGTACATAACTGATTTGAAATTACAGTAAAAACAGAAATGATTGAATGTATGTAAATAAGTTCATATAATATTAGATTATTATATAAGTTGAGACCCATTTTTCTCGATTTCTAGGTCCCAAATATTAGCGATTTAGCTCCTTTAAAACACCATTTCCCAAAACAGTGTGAGTGATATGACTATTATAACCTTTCCTTTTACAGACTAGATGAGATGAAATGAAATGGGGTTTATCGACATATTGTTCTGCTCCAACTGGGCTAATGAAGATGGGCATACGCCATACAGTGTGCTATGAGGGAAATTTTGCCCGGGCAGAGGCTCTATGGCCTACTCTTTATATTGAATTCCAACTGCCAAGGGATCTTTTTGGTGCGCATCAGTTTGTACACAGGATCTCGGTTTTTCGACCCAACTGAACGACTAGACAGCTGTTTTTGTCCGGCCCTCTATCATGCACCACTGACAATGGAAAACCACGGCGGAAAGTCCCGATGAACTTTCTCGGACAATACAGAGATCGAACACGCGACCCCCAGTCTTACCCACCATGGTTCGCACACAAGGCTAGATGCTAGAAAATGAAATGGGGTTTAATATCGGTGGTACAGGACAACATCTAATCATAGAAAATCAACTGAGCACAGGCTCTGAACATAGCAGTTACAGTATGCACGGGGGTGGGGGGATGGAAGCGTCACTGAAACTTTTGCCCTGGAGCGGCGTCCCCGAAACTCTTGCCCTGGAGCGGCGTCCCCGAAACTCTTGCCCTGGGGCACTACATTGGCTTGTGGGGACCCTGACAATTACCCAGTATTTACCGTATTGCACACGAACAGACTCTTTATTCTCAGTTCACAGTTACCTCGTGTCCACCCCAGGGTATCATTTCTAAATCTAAAAAAACCCTGTTTTTATTTGAAACGTTTTACAGTAAGCAATTTGTAGAGCCATATCATCTGTTGCTATCAATAGTGGATCTAGAAACCCTTAATAGTGGGGCGGGGACGTTCAAAATCTATAGCATCATACACAATCCCACCCCGCTATCAATAGCGGATCTAGAAACCCTTAATAGGGAGGCGGGGTGTTCAAAATCTACAGCGCCATACACAATCCCACCCAGCTATCAGTAGCGGATCTAGAAACTATCAGTTCAAAATGGCAATATGATCTATCTTAAGCCTGATTCCTTGATAATACCACTATAAACAGGTATTAATTTGCTGATTAACCCTGGTACAGTGTATATTGTGGTTTCGCCTTGTCAGTGATGCAGGACATGGGGCCTGACAAGGACAGCTGTCTAGTTGTGAGGATGGGATGGAAAACCGAGGTCTCGTGTACACATTGGCGTGCACATAAAAGATCCCTTGGCAGTTGGAATTCGATACAAGAGTAGGCCGTAGTGCCGCTGCCCGGGCAAAATTTCCCTCATAGCACACTGTATAGCGTATGCCCGTGTTCATAGGCCCAGTTTAGGAGCAGAACAGTAGGACGTTAAACCTCATTTCATTTCATTTACAGTGTATATTATATTACTTAAGTCTGTCATTTATTTGCCTTGTACTATACAATTATCTTCACATGTATTTTTGGAAATTGATTTTATGAATTATTAAGCCAAAAAACTTATTTTTTAAAAAAAAAAGAAACTGTGATAAAATCCCAACCTGCAATGAATTTTATCAAACTTTGTGAACCTTGTTGCCAGTGGTGAAGCCAGGATGTTTGTTGAGGGGTTGGATGGTTGGGTGGGGAGGGGTGGATAGGGTTTGGATTCCCAAGGCATACTGCATGAGCAGTCTGAAGGGGATTCCTGTGAGAATTTAGAAAATTGGAGTCAATTTCCTGGCATTTGAGGTCATTGCTTGTGAATGAGAGGATCAGAAATGGGACGGAATCTCAAGATCTGTCTGTCTATTCTGCCTGTTTTGTTAGTTGACAGAACATGTGTACAGTCCTTCACCCGACGACCCTCTCACTAGTGGTACTACTAACTGGGCGGTTCACTATAACCGTGAATATTATATTGATGAGATAGCAGAAGACCACAGAGGAGTGAAAGAATCGAATGATGTAGGTGCGAAAAAGCTTCAGATAGCAACGCATAACATGTAATATACTGAGCTTTTAATTTTATAGAACTGGAGATGAGGGGAGGGGGCAATGTCGCCATGGAGACCCCCCCCACCAACTGGCTACATCACTGCTTAGGGGCATTTACTCGGCCTCGTTCGGGGGTGGGGGGGGGGGTGAGTGCAGGGTTGCCATGATACCATGTCACTGACAATTGGAAGAGGGTCACACATACCATCAACATAATCTGCATCATTTCAATTTGGTTCTGGATATTCCAGACTTGGCTTGGCTTATTCATTTTAAATTAAATTGGCCGAACCGGTCTAATCTACTTAAAATCGGAGCCATCTGATGGCCTATTGAGTTAATTATGGTTTGTCATTGAACTAAATAAAAGTATACCCGTGTCGGCCGTGTGCCAATCTCTGGGCTGTTGTCACTCCCACCTTTGAACAAATGAGATGCAGATGAATACTATATACCCATTGAATTGAATTGAATTGAATTGAAATGAGGTTTAACGTCCTACTGTTTTGCTCCGAACTGGGCTAATGAAGACGGGTATACGCCATACAGTGTGCTATGAGGGACATTTTGCCTGGACAGCGGCACTGCGGCCTACTCTTATATCAAATTGCAACTGTCAAGGGATCTTTTACGTGCACGCCAATGTGTACACGGGACCTCAGTTTTTCGTATTATCCGAATGACTAGACAGCTTTCCTTGTCAGGCCCTCCGTCCTGCATCACTGATAAGGGGGAACCACACCAGAAAATCTGGATGAACTTTCTCGGCCAATGCAGGGATCGAACACCCGACCTCCAGGCTAGCGAGCCAGCGTCTTACCCATTTAGCCACCGTGACCGCCCATTGAATTGAATATGGAAGCTTTGCACAACTGTTCATATTTTAACATATTAAATATGTGTTTGTTTTTAGCAAATATTTTCAAAACGACAAATAAAAACAAATATTTTGTTGTGTTTTTCAATGTAATACATGCATATCATTAAGTACATACAATTCATAAATCAACAATTACAATTATTAACATAATCTAAATTTGTTTGTATATATAATAATGAAACAATTATTTTGTCTGGGGAGAGATACATAGCAACACATGGTTGGTTAAAGTAGCCAAGTCTCGAACTCAATATCTTCCAAAGTCTTTGACATGGAAAACACAAATTATTTGTCAATCTAAATCAACATTGATGTTGTGATCTTACCGGGAAAAGATGGGCTTCTGATATCCAATATGTAAGACAAAATAAACATAATGCGTTTCAGAGCCATTTGTAACAGGGGACTCGAAGAATGAGGCTAGACATATTCTACAAGTGACAAACGGTGACCTCATACTCTTATCTGGAGAGCATACGCAATAAATACTACAGGTGTAGACTGAAATAACCAGACACTAGGGGTGTATTTGAAACAGTGTTCCAGTGCAGAGAACGGACGGAGAATGGGTTCTTGTCGGACTTGAGCAGCCTGGAATGCGTTCGCGAACACATTCCCGTTCTCAAATACCACACAACCTCATTAGCTGGTGTGAGACGAGAACAAACATGGTAGACGCGTCGATAACTGCCAAGAAAACAGCATCATGGGTGCATTTATTAATTTAAAAGTTTAATACCGTTCGAAAATTGTGGTCAGTATAACATCAAGTAAGATAGGTGGGCAGGCAACACAACACACGCCCACAGCAGTTAAATCGTCCGTGCGGTCAACAGGGATTGTCGCATATTCATTCTTTTGTAGGTAATTGGGGCATTTACAACAAAATTTCATACAAGATTATAATTTTCGTCGTTTGTGGGTTTACAAAGGTTCTACAAACTGAAACAAGGGCCTTAATTGTTGAAATTTGACAGATTTTTTTGTTTTTTGTTTTATTAATTTAAATAATGCATACAAATTTCATACAGATCGGATGATAATTTTGTTGTTCGCGCGTTCACAAGGTTCGACAAAGTGAAACAAGGGCCACAACTCTAGACGTAATTCACTGAAATTGCAGAAATTTAATAGGCGTCTTCGTTTCACTAATTTAAATGATGCAAATGAATTTCACAAAGTGAAACAAGGGCCATAACTCCAGAAGAAACTAACGGAAATTATTGAAATTAAATAGGCTTCATCTCACTAAAATAAACAACATATCAATTTCCAAACAATCGGGTCTGTAGACGACGGAGACGACAATATGCGACCACATTTCCATGTTGGCGTATCAAAAAGCGATGTAATCGTCACCGAAAGAATTGAAAAGGAGTAAAACGGAGTCATAATTTATCAAAATTATGCTTAATAACGAAGTCAGTACTAAACAAGTTATCGTAACAGATTGTAAAAATTTAATTCATCTTGTTACCATGGATACCGTTCTCTCATGTTCGAGACTCCTGAAAGTGTTCTTATGTTCTTCCATCGTTCTCGAACCTGCACTGTTTCGAATACACTCTAGAGATTGCCATTGGATTGAGACTTTCGCCGTACATAACTGATTTGAAATTACAGAAAAAACAGAAATGATTGAATGTAAATCAGTTCATATATATATAAATATTAGATTATTATATACGTTGAGACACATTTTTGTCGATTTTTAGGTCCCAAATGTTAGCGATTTAGCTCCTTTAAAACACCATTTCCCAAAACATTGCGAGTGATATGACTATTATAACCTTTCCTTTTACAGACTAGATGAGATGAAATGAAATTGAGTTTAACGTCCTACTGTTCTGCTCCAACTGGGGTAATGAAGACGGGTATACGCCGTACAGTGTGCTATGAGGGAAATTTTGCCCAGGCAGCGGTACTACGGCCTACTCTTATATTGAATTCCAACTGCCAAGGGATCTTTTTCAGTGCACACCAGTGTGTACATGGGACCTCGGTTTTTCGACCCAACTAAACAACTAGACAGCTGTCTTTGTCAGGCCCTCCATCCGGCACCACTGACAATGGGAAACCATGTCGGACAATACAGGGATCGAACACGCCCCCCCCCCCCCCCAGTCTAACCCACTTAGCCACCATGGTTCGCACACAAGGCTAGATGCTAGAAATGAAATTTAATATCAGTGGTACAGGACAACATCTAGTTTTTCTGATGGGACAAAAACTGAGATTCCTTGTACATGTTGCCATTCACGTAAAAAAGAGAGAGAGAGAAATGGGGTTTAACGTCCACTCGACACAAACTAGGTCATTTCGGAACTAACATATGGTTCAATTTTATTTCCATAATTCGCTTGCGCGTAGGGGTCTTTAGCAGTGGGAGGAAACCGGAGGACCCAGAGAAAACCCACGAGGTTGGACAGACGACCCTACTCCTTGTCACGTACAACCATGGATTCGAAACCATGCCAGTTGACTCAATGACAGACTTAATGATACAGCGTGCACGTGCTAACTACTAAACCATCCAAACCCCTTCACGTAAAACAACCATTGACAATTGGAATTGGAGCTACGGTGGCTAGGTGGTTAAGAGGCTGGCTCACTAGCCTGGAGGTCGGGTGTTCGATCCCTGCATTGGCTGAGAAAGTTCATCCAGATTTTCCGGCGTGGCTCCCCCTTGTCAGTAATGCAGGACGGAGGGTCTGACAAGGACAGCTGTATAGTCCTTCGGATGAGACGAAAAACCGAGGTCCTGTGTATACATTGGAATGCGCGTAAAAGATCCCTCGGCAGTTGGAATTCGATATAAGAGTAGGCGTAGTGCCGCTGCCTGGGCAAAATTTCTCTCATAGCACACTGTATGGCGTATGCCCGTCTTCATTAGCCCAGTCTAGGAGCAGAACAGTAGGACGTTAAACCCCATTTCATTTCATTTCATTTCGACAATTGGAATTCGATATACTGTAAGAGTAGGCCATAGTGCCACTGCCCGGGCAAAATTTCCCCTCATAGCACTTTGTATGGCATATGCTCCTTTGTATGGTTAAGCCCATTTCATTCCAGCAATTATTCTCGCGTAACTAATAACATAAATGCAAAACTGGAGACAATTTTCTTAATATTTACAGTCTATTTACCCTTCATGGCAAAACAGCCGAGGGTTCAATTTTTGGAATAGCAACTAAACATGTATGATTCTGCAAATCAGCATCTTGCGAGAAAGACTTCAAACACAAATTACATTTATATGTTTTTTCTTTGGTATGTATCTTCATGTGTTCTCGTAAGATTATACTCTGGGCAAACGCCACGTTACAGACGGTGCACTTATACGGTTTCTCGCCGGTATGCGTTCGAACATGCTCTTGTAAAGTGTAACTTCGCGTGTACGATTTCTGACATATATCACATTTGAAGAGTTTCTTTTCCAGATGTACGACCTTGTGCGCTTTTAGCGTACTTTTCTGGGTGAAAAATTTATGACAGATATCACATTCGTGTGGCTTTTCACCGGTATGAATTCTTGCGTGTTCTTTAAGACTATGTCCCTTCTTGAAGGTCTTAAAGCACACGTCGCATTCAAAGGGTTTTTCACCGGTGTGATTTCGCATGTGTAGTGTCAGTCCCGAACTCTGCGCGAACGATTTTCCACACACCCCGCACTCGTAAGGCTTCTCGCCCGTGTGCGTTCTGATGTGCATAAGCAAATTGGGCTTAAGTCGAAATGGTCTGTCACAAACATCGCACTTAAAGGGTTTTTCACCTGTATGTATACGAGCGTGAATCTCAAGTTTTTTCTTACTTGGAAACGAGTGATTACACACGCCACATTTAAAGGGGTTGTCGCGTGTATGAATCTTATTATGTCTTTGCAAATCGGCGCTACGAACAAATCCCTTGTTGCAGATTTTACATACAAAGGCTTTGTCACCGGAATGAGTCTTGCTGTGGATATTCAGACCAGCGCTTGTGTTGAACCACTTTTCACAAACTGTGCAATTATATGTTTTTTCTCCTGTGTGAACCCGTAGATGTTCCTGTAAACCACTGCTCAGTCTAAAAGCTTCATTACAGACACCGCAAATAAATGGTTTTTCTTCGCTGTGGATTGTCATATGCCGCTGTAGACAGAGATTGTCACGGAAAGTTCTATTACAAACTTCGCAGGACACCGGGTTGGGTTTTTTCGGAATTTTGAGATGGATTTTAAGATGTGCTTGAAGTCCTATTGGATTACTAAATGATTTACTGCAAACTCCACATTTATAACCAGAAGACCCTTGACCCAGATCTTGTAGCAGATCTTTATTATTAGTTACAACCCCGTCGTCCATCTCCACTTCATCATCACTCATCAAGTCCTCCTCACTTTCACCATCTCCTAGGGGTATCTCATCATCTTCAAGTTCATCATTAGTTTTATGTCGATCTCGAATATCATTAGTTTGGAGCTCATGCTTATCTTCATCATCGCTCATTAAGTCCTCATCACTTTCACCATCTCCTTGGGGAATCTCATCATCTTCAAGTCCGTCATTAGTTTTATGTTTATCCCTAGTTTTTTCCCAATTAATGGAGTCATCATTAGTTCCATGATTAACACTTTCCTCGTCACTTGTCGCGTCACCATCACTGTTCAATTCGTCGTCACTCGCTTCATCTTCCTGTGGAATCTCGTCATCTTCAAGTTCATCATTAGTCTTATGTCTATCTTTTATATCATTAGATCCAAGCACTTGCTTAGTTTCGTCATCACTGATCAATTCGTCATCACTCTCTTCACCTGCCGGGGGAATTTCATCATCTTCAAGTTCATCATTAGTCTTACGTCGGTCTCGTATATCATTAGATCCAAGTTCATGCTTAGCATTTTTAGATTCTCGAATTTCTTGTTCCATGTCGCTATCATCAAAATCTTCTTCATCATCATATTCACTGTCTCCATCGCCCTGTAAATTTGCAATCTGGTTTCCTTCTTGTCGCCATCTACCTCCCATAACCTGATGAATTTGGTTGTTAGTTTTCTTTCGCTCCCGACAAATTTTTCTATGTTCCTCTAACTCAGAGTCTTTCTGGAATTTTGCAGCACATACAACACATTGATGTACTAATTTCGTATAACCCATCCTCTCCATTTTAGTATCTTTGCATCACCAAAATCTGTAAAATAAAATTTCAAATAAACCATGCATGAAAATGTGTTTGAAATATCAATCATTAAGATACTATTTTTGTTAAGTGAAAAATTAAAATAAAACAAAGCTTAGCAACATCAGGGTTTGGGTGGCTGAAAGGTCTTTCATTAGGTCAAATTTTGTGGTTTTGATTCGTTTCAAGGAGTAGGTTCGTCTTTCAAACCTTGTGGGTTTTCTCTGGGCCCTCTGGTTTCCTCATACAATTAAGACACCCTACGTGCAATCGAATTATTGTAATAAAATTAAACCATATGTTAGTCCCAAAATGTCCTGGTTTGTGCAGAGTAGACATTAAACCCAATTTCTCTTTTTAGCCGACAACGTAGAAAGCCCATACAAATAGGGCATACAATGTACATATAACAAAACACACTTTAAAGAAAATAATGAAATGCATGGGGTTCAATGATCTAAATTTCTGCTATGACTGGGCTAATAAAGACGGTCCAAGAAAGCTAACACATAAAAAAGCAACTGACCTTCAAAAAAAAATGATCTACATACAATACAGAGAGCTGTGTTAAGTCTTCAAATACTGGCCTGGGTAAGTTGAGGTGAGTGTAATATACTGCAGAAATCAGATGATCTGAAATAGGAAATGAAATGAAATGGTGTTTTAACCGTCCTACTGTTCTACTCCGACTGGGCTAAGGCTGACCTTAAAAATATCTTTGTTTCACCAAACCCGACCCACAATCGAGGAGAAGGGTCGGTAGGTCGGTTTTTTTTTCAGATTTTTTTTTAAAGTCAGAGAAATCAATACAGAAAACTTATTAGCTGTATACTACAGATTCATTAATTTTGTTTAATGAATTTGGGGTCTGACGTAAAGAGTAACGAACTGAAAGTTTTTATTAAACTTAAGAGCTAATTTGACAGCTTAATAATTTTCCGGGTGGAAACATTCGTCTTCTTTATTGGCAAACAAATCAATGACATCGGGATTTTTCGTGATGCCCGACTCGCACACGATTAGCCACGAACTTGAAGTGTGAAACTCCTTCAACACGTTTTTAACGATAGTGCGCGTTGTGCTTTCATTTTTCTCGAAAACGGATATTGAAAATATCGTCGTCATGTTTAAAACTATGCACCACAGACATAGAGGCAGAATTATTTCGTGGGAATGGACGTGTATTCGTCTGCAACCATTTTGTTGAGAAGCGACACCTATGACGCTTTCGTCTTGATCAACCAGTTTCAATAATGAATCAAACCATAGCCATAGTATAGGGAAATAACTCTCATGATATATTTCAGGTTGACACGCAAAATAAAATAAAAAGATCGTGGAAAAGTGCAATAAAATAATTTAAGTCGGGGGTGGTTTTAGTTAGTCGGTCGCGTTAGGCGAAACAAAGATATTTTTAAGGTCAGCCTAATGAAGACGGGCATACGCCATACAGTGTGCTATGAGGGAAATTTTGCCGGGCAGCGGCACTATCGCCTACTCTTATATCAAATTCCAACTGCCAAGGGATCTTTTACGTGCATTCCAATGTATACACAGGACCTCAGTTTTTTGTATCATCCGAAGGACTAGACAGCTGTCCTTGTCAGACCATCTGAAATAGGATAACCAAAAATAAATCACTAAAATTTTTCAAATTATGTGGTAAGGTAGATAACCCTACTATAAAATAATCATCTAAATAAAGCACAGGTTACACCACTCGAACACCCAAATTAACCAACATCTCCTCTCAGGACTAACATATGGCAGGCTACAATTTTATTTCAATAATTCTCTTGCATGTACATAGCTCGATGAGTAGTTGGAGGAAGCCAGCGGACCCAGAGAAAACATGCGCTTGGGCAGGCAACCTTGTCCTTACCCCTTGTCATGTATAAACTTGAGATTGAAAGCATGCCACTGACTCAAATCATACTCCAATGTGAATAGCACATGTTTGATTGACCAAATGACCACCCTCTTATTCACAGTTTGATGAATAACGATCCTCTGATGAGCATAAGTAAGATTCCTTTTTTAACCCTTTAGGTGGAAACAGTCATTAACGGGTAGGGCCGTGGGGCAATTTACCCTGGCCAATACCGGTAGCACCTGCATGCAAGTCACGTGAGGGCCAGACCAGCTGGCTGGACTTCTTTGTTTTTTTGGAACAATTTCCAGTACAGTATAACAAATAAAACTCTGCATTGAAGACTGCAACAAACGTCTAAGTATTTAAGAAAAGGTTTAACTATTCTGTCTTGACAAAATTCTCATGTTTTGGGTCCATATAAGATACAAATAAAAGTTATTATCATTTATAAATTATTCTACCTTCAATAAGACGCCATGACAGTTTTAGACTTCCGGGTAAACTTCGGGCGTATAAGTTATGAATGGCAATGGACCTTGTTTTGTTGTTTTATCATTTTCAATACGGCAATATTTTTTTGTTGTTAATTACTTTCAATACTGCTATCTTTCCAGTCTCAGCAACACTTTGAAATAAACTACCATCAGAAAGTTAAAGTCATTAAACTTTTTGTAGCAGTTTAGCACGTTAAAAGTGCACTATTATTATTATTATTATTATTGTGTGTCTTGTCGGCGGTAATGGGTGTTTCGTGTAGGCGTATGTGTTGCTGTTCTCGTGCACTTATTGGGGTGATTTTATCACTGTATCACAGACACAATTCTCTTAAAAACAGCTCCTTTCTTTCAAATTAGAAGACTCCTCCCATTCTTGTTTTTGTACCTTGTCATAGTAATTATAGGGTTCAAACTCGAAATTATAGCATGGTGCCTAGATAAGGAATCATGTAGTATCCAGTGTGCTGAGAGAGAGAGAGAAATGGGGTTTAACGTCCACTCGACACAAACTAGGTCATTTCGGGACTAACATGGTTTAATTTTATATCAATAATTCGCTTACTCGTAGTGGTTTTTAGCAGTGGGAGGAAACCGGAGGACCCGGAGAAAACCCCTGAGGTCACGTAAAACCGGGGATGCGAAACCATGCAAGTTGACTCAATGACAGGCCTTATGATACAGTGCGCACATGCTAACCATTCGGCCATCCAACCCCCCATCCAGTGGGGGGGTTGGAAGCTCCAATTTTGGCACACAATAAACCTATTCCAACTTGTCACAATATGCTGAAGTGTGTCCAGGAATTTGAGCAACGGTAGGGGAGGGGGTTTAGAGCATAGGATTAGAGCAGAGTAGGATGAAATGGGGGGGTGGGGGGTGGGGGGTGGGGGGTGTTGACTGAACTGCAGTCAGGGGATCCCAGTTAATTCTAAAAAATATTGGCACCATAAATAAATATGTCATTTATTATGTTATATATGTTTGTGCCATTGTGCCATATAAATCTATCTGTCTACCATACTGCCATACAAATTGTATTTTTAATATTAAGACATTGGCCCCAGTGACAGATCAATACATAATGGCTGGGATGTTCAAATTGACTGGGTAGCAGCCAGGGCCCCAAATTAGTTCTAAAATAACTTTTGTACCAAAATAAATCTGTCATTTATATTATGTTTGTACCAAATAAATCTATACACCATACTGATGGGGGGGGGGGGGTTGGATGGCTAAATGGTTAGCGTGTGCGCGCTGTATCATAAAGTCTGTCATTGAGTCATCAGGCGTGGTTTCGATTCCCCGGTTGTACGTGACAAGGAGTAGGGTCGTCTGTCCAACCTCCTACTGCTAAAGACCCCTACGCACAAGTGAATTATTGAAATAAAATTAAACCATATGTTAGTCCCGAAATGACCTAGTTTGTGTCGAGTGGACATTAAACCCCATCTCTCTCTCTCTCTCTCGCATACTGATATACAACTTGCATTTGTGTGAGTGTGAGTGAATAGGCTCCTTTTTCACTGTTGATGCAAGGGACCCAATGACGTATTCAGCCAAGGGCTCAATGTGCAAGCATAATCTAGCCCTAGATGAGAGTGAAGGGAGATCAAAACAGTGACAATGCTTCATACGTTTGTTTGTTCAACATTATTTTGTTGAAAGTAGGACAAAATAAATGATCTGTGCATAGGATTATCTCCCTTGTCAGTGGTGCAGGACTTAGGGCCTGACAAGGTTTCCGCGTACAGTGGCATGCACATAAAAGTCCATTGGCAGTTGGAATTCGATAAAGAGTAGACCATAGCACCGTAAATTTGTCAAAATTTCCCTTCTAACACATTAAATGGCATATGCCCATCTTCATTAGCCCAGTTGGAGTAGAACAGTAGGGCGTTTCATTTCATTTCATTTGTTTTGCACATAGGGGGTTAGGGGACCTTTTCTCGCCCCAGGTACAGAAACGATTTAGAATTTTTGCAAACCTTAGTGGTGTTTTGGGGCTATAGAACTAAAAACTGGTGGTTTTCACTTGGCCCCACTGATTCTTTTATTTCTTTACAAAGCACTGGGAAAATTGGCAAATTTTGTTCAACAGTGGGAAATCCCCCCCCCCCCCATCCCCCAACACCCTCTACCTACTGTACTAACAGATGCCCCGCTGCCCCCCATTGTAGAGATAATACAGGAAATACAAATTCTATAAATTATATTTTAATCAAAGGTAATTATACATATAGCCACTAACATTATCTTGTTACAAAACGGAGGGCCTGACAAGGACAGATGTCTAGTTGTTCGGATGGTACGAAAAACCGAGGTCCTGTGTACACATTGACATGCACGTAAAAGATATCTTAACAGTTGGAATTCGATATAACAGTAGGCCGTAGTGCCGCTATCCGGGCAAAATTTCCCTCATAGTACACTGTATGGCGTATGTCCGTCTTCATTAGCCCAGTTCGGAGCAGAACAGTAGGACGTTAAACTCCATTTCATTTACAAAATTGATTGATAATCTGTACTTAAATGAAATGAATGTCTGACATTAAAGATACCTTATTCAAGAGCTTTTATTAATTAGACATTTATTAACAAAACAAGACCATAATCAACTCTTGATGATATCGGATACTCAAGATTTTAACTACATGTAGATTAGAATGGTTCGGCCATTTAATGATTTAATTTTAAAATGAGAAAGCGAGGCTAAACCTTGAATATACCAGTACCCCAGTAACGATAATACACGATTGATACACACATCTTGTCAAAACTGCAAACAATGATAACTTTGCTCAGAATAAAGTAATTTGAATGAAATTTTCAATATATTAATTTTTCATTATCTATATTATAACTATTATAGCAAAAACGACCAGCTCTTTATCTAAATCTTATATAACGCATCTTTAAACCTGAACCGATGTGTGTGAATGTACAGGCCAGCATGTGTGGGATCTCAGATCACACGGTCTGCCAAACGCTTCGTTACAAATTTTACACTTATGAGGTTTTTCGCCCGTGTGCGTTCTGACGTGTTCCTGAAGGTTATAGCTACGTGTGTAGGCTTTCCCACAAATATCACACTTGTAGAGTTTGCCGTCGACATGAACGGTCGCGTGAGCCTGTAGTGTACTCAATTGCGTAAATGATTTACCACAAACATCACATTTATGGGGTTTTTCACCAGTGTGAATTCTGAGATGCTCCTTTAAGCCAATACTCTGTTTGAAAGCTTTGTAACAAAAATGGCACTTATAGGGTCTCTCGCCGGTGTGATCCCTCATGTGCAGAGTTAACCCTCCACTCTGAGCGAAGGATTTACTACAGACGTTGCACTTGTAGGGTTTTTCTCCGGTGTGAATTCTCATGTGTATCTGTAGACTTGATGGAGCCTGTAGAACCTTATGACAAATATCGCATTCATATCTCTTCTCATGGATTTTAACGTGATCCTCTAGTTCGCTCTTCTCAGTGAAAGATTTGCTACAACCAAGACATTTAAAAGGCTGCCCTTCGGTATGGCTTTCATTTCCCGGAGTACCCGAAACACTGGAATCATGTTGGTCCGCAATCAAAGCATGATGGAGTCGGATATGATGCTGTAGACTGCTCTTTTCACTGTAAGTCTTAGAACAAACATCACATTTAAAAGGTTTCTCACCCGAGTGAAGAACCCGATGCCTCTGTAGATGAAAGTTTCGTCCAAAGGCTCGACCACAAACTTCACAAATATACGATTTTTCTCCTGTGTGTATTTTGCTATGATTGCATAGCCCAGTACTAAATCGAAACATCTGACCACAGATGCTACAAATATAGGGTTTTTCCCCCGTATGCGTTCGCATATGTTTTTGAAGGGTGCTGCTGATCCTAAAGGCCTGATTACACACACTGCAAATATGGGGTTTTTCTCCTGTGTGAATACTCATGTGTTTTTGTAGACCGTTTTTAGAACTAAATGTTTGCCCGCAGAAATCACACAAGGGCCTAACAGGCATGGGGTTATTATCATTTAAATGAGTTTTTTTATGAGTTTGTAAATCAGATAAAGTTTTGAATGATTTACTACAAACATCACATTTCTTTTCAAAATGGCTCTTTTTGTTTTCTAATTCGGTGTCGTCACTAAATGATTTACTACAAACATCATATTTATTTTCAAGATGGCCTGATAAGTCTGATTTACTACAAACATCATATTTATTTTCAAGACGGCTCTTTTTGTGTTTTAATAATTCCGTATGATTGCTAAATGTATCACATTTATTCTTAAGATGGCTCTGTTTATGTTCTAATAATTCTGTGTGATTGCTAAATGATTTACTACAAACATCACATTTATTTTCAAGATGGCTCTTTTTGTGTTCTAAAAGTTCCGTGTGATCACTATATGATTTACTACAAACATCACATTTATGAACATTCTCCTTAATATGGATCTGTTTATGGGTCAGCATTTCTAACGGATCGCTAAATCCCTGCCAACAAACATCACACTTAAAAAGTCTTTCTCCTGAATGGCTTTGCTTATGAATGAGCAGATTCAGTGGAGTACAAAACGATGATGAGCACTCGTCACATTTAAACAGCATCACTCCGGTATGGATTTGTCTGTGGGTCAACAATTCCAACGGATTACTGAACGAATCACCACAAAAATCACATTTGAATGGTTTATCTTCTTCGTGGGTTTCTTCGTGGGTTTTCAAATCGGTTAAACTACTAAATGACTTAGTACACACATTACATTGAAAAGGAATCTGTAGAATGTGATCCCGTTTGTGTACTTGTAGTTCCAGTGGATTATCGAATGATTTATTACAAACATCACATTTATAGTGTGAAGAATTGTTTAAACTGTATTCAGAATTTTTTGTAATTCTTTTTGGATCATTAGTTCCTTTCTCCTCTCTTACTTTATTAGTGAAAGTTCTTCGTCTTTTACATGAAATTGTTTTGTAATCAATAAGTTCATCATTAGTCTTTAAGCTTTCTTGGAGGTGAATAGTTTCTTTGTATTCGTCATCAGTTTCTGAGCTTCCATGAAGAATTTCTTGTTCAGTATCTTCATAATCTATTGCTTCGTCATTAATGTTCTCGAGTGAATTCCCAGCATTTCTTCTAATACATATGTAACTTGCTTCATTTTCGAATGAATCATTCAACTGATCCATGTGGGGTTCTTCACAATCAGTGGTCTCATCTTCCTGTAGAGCCACATCACTAGTTTGTTGGTTGTGGTGATCCATGTGCTGTACTTCATAATCAGTGGTGTCACCTTCCTGTAGAGGCACATCATTAGTTTGTTGGTTGTGGTGATCCATGTGGGGTTCTTCACAATCAGTGGTCTCATCTTCTTGTAGATCCACATCACTAGTTTGTTGGTTGTGGTGATCCATGCGCATTTCTTCACAATCAGTGGTCTCATCTTCCTGTAGAGCTACATCACTAGTTTGTTGGTTGTGGTGATCCATGTGGGGATCTTCACAATCAGTGGTGTCATCTTCCTCTAGAGACACATCACTAGTTTGTTGGTTGTGGTGTATAGTATCATCATGGTCCATCTTATTTTTTTGCTCAGAAGAAATATAGTGCTCAGTTTGCTGGCAATCTGGTTAAAACACAGATCCTATTTCGTTTCGTTTTTATAGTTCAAAATTTTATTTAACTTGTCTTTACTACACTAGGATCTGGAAGAGTTGTGGGTAAACCATTAGAAACGTCAATGCTTATTAAATAATCAATGTCTGACTTCATAGGGTCAAAAGCCGCTCGTTTATCAGATGTTGATGTAGTGTAGGCCATTGAAAATATAAAAAAAAAACGAAACAAAATATAGATCTGTATTTTAATCCGATTGAGTTTGCTAGTTGTGTATTGTACGGATCAAATGTATTGAATTATGATCCTCGAGCTGACTGTCTTGTACCAATCAATAAATCGCTTGTCTTGATGGGTCTTTAGCAGTGGGAAGAAACCGGAGCAAAACCCACGAATGGTTTGTCTTTGTACAAAACACTGATGAACAACTTTAACGCCTTCTATATTTTGTAACAGGATCAGATCTACAGACTCAGTGTATAGTTTATTGTAACTTTGTAAAAACTGAAAGGAACGGAACCATTTTTGGACTGATATTTCCCTTTCACTGATATTAGAGATAGACCTTTCACAATATGAGATCTCTGGTATTGTTCTTCAGTTGTAATGATGTTTCAGAAGGTAAGTATATCCATGTACTAACTTTGATGCTGTTTTGTGGACATTACTTCTGTTCATCTGAAAGATACAAAAGTTTACATATAAAATATTACAAATGTTACGGCAAGTTTTTGGCGTGAGGTGCATGGAACTGTGGGTAATCCACAAGAAACATCAATGCTGATTGGTAAATCAAATGTCTGACATCATAGGGTCAAAAGCCGCTCGTATGACCTCCCACTAAAACTGAAATGAAATGAGGTTTAACGTCCTACTGTTCTGCTCCGAAACGGGCTAATAACAACAAGCATACGCCATACAGTGTGTATGAAGGAAATTTTGCCAGGACAGCGGCGCTATGGCCTACTCTTATATCGAATTCCAACTGTCAAAGGATCTTTTACGTGCACGCCAATGTGTACACAGGATCTCGGTTTTTCGTCCCATCCGAACGACTAGACAGCTGTCATTGTCAGACCCTTCGTCCTGCATCACTGACAAGGGGGATCCACGACGGAAAATCTGGATCGAACTCCCGTCCTCCAGGCAAGCGAATCAGCATCTTACCCACTTAGCCACCATGACCCCCCCCCCCCCCACCGCCCATTACAACTGGTCAGATCTTCATGTAGTATTTGGAATTAGAGTAAAATCGAAATGTAAATCAGTTTATATAAGTCATATAACATTATTACATGTATAAACGTTCCGACCCATTTGTGTCAATTTCTAGGTCCCAAATATTACAGATTTAGCTCCTTTAACCCCTTAACTGTGTAATTAATTTGACGTTAACTACCAATATCCAATATTTAGACACAATTAACATTTTAAAATCAGTAGGCCAACGCTCGAGAGACATCGTGTATCAGTACCGGTGGTACTCTAAAGATGTAATTGTATGGTTTCGAGCGCCATTTGTAGGCCCAATAAACAAATAAAAGAGAGTTAGAGAGAAATGGGAGAGAGAGAGAAATGGGGTTTAACATCGACTCGATACAAACTAGGTCATTTCGAGACTAACACATGGTTCAATTTTATTTCAATAATTTGCTTTGCGCGTAGGGGTCTTTAGCATTTGGAGGAAACTGGAGGACCCGGAGAAAACCAATTGGATTCACCAATACAATTTTAACGTCTCCTCGACACACACTAGGTCATTTCGGAACTTACACATGGTTCAATTTTATTTCAATAATTTTTTTGCGCGTAGGGGTCTTTAGCAGAGGGAGGAAACTGGAGGACCCGGAGAAAACCCATGAGGTTGGACAGGCAACCCTACTCCTTGTCACGTACAACTGTGGATTCGAAACCACACCAGTTGACTCAATGACAGACCTTATGGATTATGATACAGTGCGCACGTGCTAACCATTCGGCCACTAGGTCACTTTATCAAATTTTTGGGCTGACCTGTATTTCATCAACATGATTATTAAACATTACAATAATTTTTTAAATAAATGTATATAAATCAAATTAATCTACGTTCATATTACATTAATATGCGATGTGCTTTTACACCCATTTAAGGTTCCAAATATTCAAGTCAGTTGGACAAACAACTGTGATCTTGGATTCCGTAAAAATAAAAGTTATATTAATTATTATACTGCCTGGGCTGAAACAACTGCCTTAACATCCAAGTAGGCAGAAATGACTCGAGCCAAACCAACGCCTCCTCCCTCTTCGACTCTTCCAGATAACTAGGTTAAACATGATTGATGTTCAGTAGCTCGATGTAAGCAAACCACGATTTTTTGAGAGAGAAAGGTTAGGCTATATAGCTTGATCTGAAATTGGTTCCCTCGTTCAAGAAAGTAATGGGATGGCAATTCCGGGTATGTCACTAAGTTTTAGGTGTTTTAATTAAAAATTGAAGAAATGGCAAGCAATTTTCCTGTCGTAGGCCTACTCGGAGTGTCACCTGGAACAGACACTACAGTAGGCCTACCGGTAAAGATGAATTCCAAATTTTAGTAGATACTTCAATTTTCATTTGCTAAGCACTAAAATCAATCTAATATTATCCAATCAAATTACTAAAATTTAGATTTTATCTTAGTTAAAATTTGGTGAAACAGGCCTCTGGATCACAACTTCGACAAATTGCAATGCAACGAATGAATGATTTACTGCACCAGTTCCCTACTCCCTTCATTTTTTTTCCCAGTCTTAGACGCCTTCAAATCGTGTTGGATTCATTTATATGACACTTTCAAATTCTTTAGGTCACCATGCAAATAATAAATCTATTTTCATATACCTGTTCTCTTTATGTTGTCCAAGAAACGAACCCTATGTATCGTTCTTATTTTTTTCTTCATTTCAGACGCCATGACAGTTCAGCAATGGCTAGATTCGGGCGTTTCAATTTATTTCCGATTAGAATGAAACTTGTTATTCCCAGGTAGCAATGTGCTTTCCACTTTGAAATCTATTGAGAAATTGACATGGATCTAAATTGTTATTCCCGACGTGTGTGAAAGCCTTCTTCTAACGCTGTTTTAGTTCAAATTAATGCCTTCTGCACGCGACGTCACATACGTTTAGACAGATTTTGTTATTAATATGTAGCCCATATTTTCATTCATATTTATATTGTAAATGTATTTTCGTATATCCGCCTTAACGCGTGTTGTCGCTGACTCGTTGTCTATTGGCTGCATGTGCTTATGATTGGCAGGAACAATAGGTGTGTCTTATATCACGCGATCTTGGGTATATAGTACCTTGTCTTGCCCGTAGCAGTGGGTGTTAGCAGAGGTAAGACCGAGACCATTTCTCCAGTCGATTTCACTGACGAGTTTGACCCCGACTTATAGGGAGCGATGCAGCTGAGAGCCCTTATAGGGGCGTTATAGAGAGCCCGAAAAGGAGCGTTAAGATTATAGAGCTCTGAGGAGAGATCCATTTTGAGAGCCGTTGCTAGGAGTGCGATTCGAGAGCACGACAAGCTTGAGACGGAGTTGGCCGTGTATACTTAGAGTATAATAAAGAGAGTTGCTGATTAATCAGGTGTTAGTCTTTCTAAGCCAGCTGCTTGGTTGACTACTCCCACACCTCTATCGTAGTGAACCCTCAACGGAACTAACGGATAGAGCCGGGCCCATTCTACCACAGTAATCCGCTCTATCCAGAGATCTGGTTCACTATATACAGAAGTTTTCTGCTGGCAGAGGTGGGATACAGATTGACAAACCCCGAGACGGATCCAGATAGAAAACCCGGGATACAGATCAGCTACTCATTTTTTGTGTTGGCTCAAATGTAGAATCCATAGAAGAGCCAAAGATCCAGTTCACTACAATACCAACTTGTACATCATACATGTACATTGAATTTAAAGGACAATATTGGTGCCAGTCATTATCACATATGTGATAGAACTGGTTAAACACGTTCCAAATATTATTTTATTTTAAATATAAAATTACAAAGATTTAAATAAAAAATTCATAAAATTAACAGCCAAACATTATATGCACCAATGCGCTACCCGACGAGGTAACGGGTCGCTAGGCTGTTAATTTTATTACCTTTAAAAACAATATTTATTACATAGAAAATGTAAAAAAGGTAATATAATGTATACGTTGTTGTCAACGCTAAATACTTTATTATATTATAGTCAGGTCAAAATACAGTTTAACCCACAAAAGGTTTCTCTGGTAAGGTTTAGTGTACTTTATAACATACTAAAAGTTTACCAAAGTAGGACCCCCGGAAAAGTGGGGTTTTTTTTAATATGGCGTCAACTCAAATTTGATGATCTTGGTGTCTTTCCCTGGGTTTTTGGGGGCAAAGAACACATTAAGATCATTAAAAATGACGTTGGCCTATCATGCTAAAAGTGACCGCTAACACCTCCAAATGACCGCAAGTCCATCGTTTTAATAATAATAATAATAATAATAATATAATTAATAATAAAAATTACGACCCATTTAGTGTTTTGGGTTGGGTTTTTTGTTTTTTTTTTTTGTTTTTTTTTGGGGGGGGGGGGCTTTTTTTTTGGGGGGGGGGGGGTGTTTTTTACTGCATTGCATGACATTCTAATTTTGGAAAGAGGTTGGTTCGCCTGTCCAAAGTCGTGAGTTTTCTCCGGGTCCTCTGGTTTCCTCCTACTGCTAAAGATTCCTACGCGCAAGCGAATTATTGAAATAAAATTGAATCTCTAAGAAAAACATCAGAATAAAAACGATTCAATTTCATTCAGTATTTACAAAGATATAGCACAATAGGAATCCCTTGGATGGTACGAAAACCTGATGCACCGTGTGCACATTGGCGTGTGCGTTAAAAGGACCCTTGACAGTTGGAATTTGATATAAGAAATATCATTGTGCTACTGCACTTTCACAATTCCACTCATAGCACACCGTATGGCGCATGTCCGTATTCATTAGCCCTATCGGAACAGAGCAGTAGGACGATAAACCCAAATTCAATTCATATCGCTGGACAGCTACAATTTACCTTTATAGGTGACAGTGTCAGACTGGCGGGCTACAGTTCAGGACCTCAAGATCTAGGGGCGTCTCAATTTTCTTGAAGTAACGACTGTGAGTTTTACAACATCTAGCCGTTGCTACATTTGTCTGAAATTCCCGAACTTATAGGCACGTTAGCTCCCTTTACCGCAGACACGTGAACAATAGCACAGTGTCCAGTCAAAGCTCGTGACACAAACACACTTAAATCAAACACGGCGACTTTCACAGAAACCTTTACATTGAAAGAACCTTGAACTTTACAACTCGATTATCCGAGGTAGACATTTTAGCTGAAAAGCGCGAGACTTTATATTCGCAATGGTATTTTCTATCGAGGAATCTGAAAGGCCACCAGCTTGGTCAGTAGCCAATCGAAATTAGTAACACAATATTCAGTGTATTACGTAAAGGGCTTGATAAGATGTACAGAGTTAAAGTGAGATCAAGCCTTCTATTGAAGATGGGGCGTCTCTGGCCAAGGTATATAATATTAAGCCTTTCTTACACACACTGTACATCGTCATCATCATCAACAAAGACAAAAAATACTTTCAGCATCCCCTAGTCATGACGTTAGAGGATATTGGGATGGCGGTGGTTTGGAAGGGTCCATGTACATACATGGAATAGCATTAGATCCCTCTTTATCTAAATTGTGGACTTCTAAGAAATGATGGCGTTAGAAATATATAATCGGATAAATAATAGATCGCCGAAATAGTTCTAGAACTCCAAACTTGGTTATAAATCTTGAATCGGATACAAATCGAGCTGAAACCTGGGTTAAACGTCTAACTGTAAATCACACTGTTGTCTATGACGTCGCATATGGTGCCTATGCACGTGTGCAGCTTGTTTCCTTTTACGCTGTTCTATTTCTTGTCTTCTCAGTTCTTTTTCTCTCTCGAGTTGTCTCCCTCTTTCTAGTTCTGCTTCTATTTCCTTTGCTCTTTGTTCAAGCTCCAGTTCCCTTCTGCGAATCTCTTGATCGACTTTCACCTTTTCCTCCTCATCTTGTTGTTTGATTTTGGATTGCATGGCCTCGTTTGCTTTGTTGATCATTTCTTCAGTGTAATGAGCGCGGTTATTCTTGTGTATAGTTTAATTGGCTAAAAACTCTCTCTCTCTCTCTCTCTCTCTCTCTCTCCCTCTCTCTCCCCCCCTCTCTCTCTCTCGCGGGTGGGTAACGGAAGGGTTTCGAGGGAGCACAGTATTGCCATCAGGACAAAGACAATATGATGACATTGTTTCGAAATTCGAGGGAACTTATTCAGAAGAGAGGATAGGAAATTAAATGAGATTATGGATACCATTATACGTTGCGAATGAAATGGGGTTTATTTGTCTTCACCGACTGGGTTAATGAAAACAGGGGGCGCAATGACACGGTTTGCAAATGAAATACATGCAGTGTTTAATTAACGTCCTACTATTCTGCCCCGTCTGGGCTAATGGCTACGGGCATACGCCACATAGTGTGCTATGAGGGAAATTTTGTCCGCGCAGCGGCGCTACGGCCTACTCTTATATCGAATTCCATCTACCAGGATTTTTTTTTACGTGCACGCCAATGTGCACATGGGTTCTCTGTTTTTCGTCCCACTCGAACGACTATACACTGTCCTTTGCAAAGCCCTCCTTCCTGCACAACCGACAAGGGGTAACCACGCCGGAAAATACCGATGTACTTTCCCGGTCAACGCAGGGATCGAGTCAACGTCTTACTCACTGAGCCACCGTGGACTCTGCCAAGCTTTGTGTCATGGGATTAGTGTTTGTGCTGCCTTCAGTTTTTGCGTCCACTCTCAAATGGAAACAATCAATGTTTTCGATGCGGATTTCAGTGCTCTGACCAAGTAGCCCAGGTATGCTACAAATCGACTCTTTTTACGTTCGGCACAGCCTTAAAAATACCCCCAGCCTCCCCGACCTCTTAAATGACATAAATCTGGGTTTTTGTGCACATACAGACTCTTGCACCTCGTGTATAATTAGAATTCACCATGCCCCTGTCTTGAAATGATTTCAAGGAACAGCTTCTAGCCATGCAGATCGATCAACAAATTTAGATTCCTTGTAGACGGTTGGAATTTGATGAAGTGTGGGCAAAAATAAATTATTTTTCAAATATGTATAATCACTGTAAAACTATTCAAAGTTTGTATAGTTTATAGCCTGTATTGAATTGTTTCAATAGCATTTAGTAATTAGACTGGAATATACAGGTCACAATTCTATGGAATACAATTACTGCTTATTACTGAACGACGTTTCGACTAGGCTTCTCTATTCATTATTAAGCAATGATAGGATGTGAAAATATAATAAGAAAATATATACATGTACACAACAATACTTGGTTAATGTTGACCTACCACATCGATCATTTAAATATACATTATGTAAGATTTAGATAAAGAGCTGGTCATTCTTGCTATAATAGTTATATTAAAGATACATTATGTAAGATTTAGATAAAGAGCTGGTCATTCTTGCTATAATAGTTATATTAAAGATACATTATGTAAGATTTAGATAAAGAGCTAGCCATTCCTGCTATAATAGTTCCCAAATAGATAATGTAAAATGAATAATTTGAAAATTTCATTCAAATTACTCTATTGCGAGCGAAGATGTTAGCCTTTGAAGGTTTGTGAAGACGTGTGCAATGATTTCAACCACCGTACTGGTTGTTCGAAGATAAGTCTCGCTCTTCCATTTTTAGCTTAAATCAAAATATGTCTGAACCGTTCTAATTTATTTAATACCGGAGAAATCCGATGCCAGTGAGAGTTGATTATGGCCTGGATAAGTTAATTAATGTCTAATTAATAATTTAGAAAACATTTCTGGTCTAAAGAAAGACCTGCAATAAACAGATTTAACTCTTGCATAATGT